CTACACGTATACAGTAATGTGTAATGCAAAAAAAGTATTTACTTCAGAAATATACACAATGTTTAAAAATGAAGTTTTATTATAAAATTGTTTTTAAACATAACTGTTTAATAAACAATTTTTTTGGTGCACCCTTGATTGATTCCTTATTTCGGTATAAAATAAAGCGGTTTTTGAAAACACTTGATTAAAAGAACAAAATTAGAAAAAGGCACTATACTGAATACTTATTCCTAATTATTGTATTTGATCAATATTTATAAATATGTATATAAATATATATATGTGTGTGTGTGTGTGTGTATGTGTAAGTAAGTAAGAATCAAGTTTATGTACATGTGTGTATATTTGCACATATGTGTTGTGACGTGGTCATCGCGTCGCTCCTCCCTCACCACAAAAAGCTCTAAGGATCGCGGGAGTTCGGGGGTGCGAGCCGTCTAGAAAGCGCCAAGATCCTCCAGGGCTTGCTTGCGTGCGTTAGATTTAGTTGCTTATTTGTATTATTTTTTTTGTATGCTCTTGGCGCCTCACCACACCAAGAACACACTACTGGAGGAGATATCAGGAGCCGTCGATTGTGGATAAAGGCGAGAGAAAACGAGAGACAAGGGTGTGCGTGGAGTCGCGGCTAGGCACCCGCACGACGACCAGAGGGGTGAGTCTCCGGGAATAAGCGGCGAGAGAAATGACAGCGAGAAGGACAGCGAACCTTGGCGCTGGGAAACCGAGGAAGCGAGGCGAACACCCGACGATGGAGACAGCTTTGACTTTCTGTTCACATCGGAAAAACCTGCTGCACACCTCCGCTGCTAACTTGCACCTACTACCCTGCTGCGCTACTGCATGCTGCATCTCTATTACATTTGCGGAATTCAGCGCTTGGAAATCTTCGCTGCTTACATTTTCGCTAGTGAGGGCCCGGTACTCGTTTTGAATTTCGCGGCCGCGAGTTCTGCCACCGAGCGCGAGCATCGCGTCGCATGTGGCGCCCCTCGCAACCTGATTGGTCGCCGCGATCTACCCTACGCGATCCTAGCGCGCTCAAACGCATCGACCTCGAATCGATCTCGATCCTCGCTCTCTTGGTCGCAGCTTCTCGAACAGGACGGACGCACTAACGGCACTCCCGACGATCGATTGTTGAACTGAGAACTTGGAGATTGTGCTGAATGGAAAAGGACGACGACGTACGGTGAGGTGTCCTCGTCAATTTGTGAGCCACGAATCCGCGTTACTCGAGTCTCGTGTCGAGGCTAGTCGCTGAATTTCGCGTTTAGGTGCCGGCAAGGACATAACCTTCGCCATAGTTTAGAGTTTTCGGCAGCGGTTAGAATCGGATTTCACGGGGCTTCGTGGTATTAATTCGTAGACCTAAGTGCGTGTCGCGTAACTACTCTATTGAGTAGTACAAGCCCTGGAGTACCAGTAAAGCGCCAAGCAGCAAATTTTGTTCTTTCGTTGTGTTTCGCGTGTACTAGTGTTTGTCTAGTGTATCGTTTCGCGACCGCCATACTCTGTACCGAGTATCGTACCGATCATCGTATCGAATACCGTATCGAGTATCGTTTTCTGAAATTAACGCTATCGTAACGTGTCGCATCCTGCATACTAATTGCTGCTGATTGATCACCTGCGGCTGTAGTAACTTTTCACGCTACTCTATCGTACCGCTATTACATTCTCTACGGCATTTTGGTGTGGATTTCCCGAGTGATCTGCCAAGAGTGAGGGGTGAGCGATTTGGAAGAGCTATAATAAGAGAATTTCGTACCGTTATCGTATCGAATCAAAGAGATCTATCGTACCGTACTAGAGGATCTCTCGGATCGAGGAGCGCCTAGCTCTCGTTCCGGGGAACAAGCTCTTCCGACTTCGTGAGCGCTTTGCTCAGGTGTGCTCATTGGCACGTGCATGCTGCGTTATATTTGATTGCTTAAGTACACTGTGACCGGGGACGGGAATCCGGCGAGAGCTTTGCGCCGTGTATGGCGTAAGCCTGACCAGCCCCTGCAAAATTAAGTAAGTCCCGCGGAGTAGATATTACGCCTGGCGGCCCCTCTAGTGGTAAGCGCACGAGTTGGCTAGATTAATCGATTCCACCGCTTTCAGCTTCAGGAAAGCTTTGATTAACACGCTTGTTTCTGTGTCTATTATACCGCCTAGTAACGTATAGCGTATGTAAAGTAAGCTGGACTACGTAGCGTCCTCGACATCCCGAGTCGATATCAGAAATTGGGTCTGCGATAGATCCCGCTTCGGCGTAACGTGTCTTGTTAATTGTCTTTGTACTTTATTATTTTCTTTTACTTAATTGGCTTTTGTAATCACTCACCGCTGCGACCAAGCGATCTCGCCGTATCCTATCGGTGAACTTTATTTTGTATTTTTTTTTGTTATTTTNGCCAAGTCGTCTCATATTACGCGGTGTTATAATAAATTGCTTATTTCTTTATCTCTATCTGCAGTGTGGTTGATTGCGATCCTAATCCGAGATTCGTCGGGACAGCCCTGTTTATTTATCGTCAGACCCACTCCTTCTCCGTTCCAAATAGAGCTAGTCGGCCCATCGTGTCGAGCGACGCACATTTTGACGCGTTTACGCGTCTGGCGCCCAAAATTCCAACCAAGAATCCGTCGACTCGGCGCAGTGGTGTGCTCAGTTTACACCCTTTTCTCTTCTGCCGATCTAGACGTTTCTTATCTCGCGGACTTCCGTCCGTGTTTCGATTTCGGACTTTTGTTTCGGGCGGGACGACGCGGGAATTTCGTAAGACCAGAGAAAAACCTCACAGTGTATAATATACAGGATGTATAAAAAGTACTGATACAGCAAAAAGTGTGAAAAACGACATTTTACGAAAAAGTGTTTTACATAAAAGTTGTAGGGTTTTAAAGGATTTATTTACTAATCTTATCAATTTAACCTTGAATGACATCACCAAGGTCAAGGTTGAATGTTTTTAGAGAACATTCTAGTTTTTATTGCATATTCTTGTAGACCTTCTTCAGACCTTTTCAAAGCACTATAATATTATTCACTTTAAATAAGCCGTTTTGATGTTATCAAACTTTTTATGATAAGATATCTAGCCCACAAAAGCAAAATCGGAAGATGATCCAGCCAACCAAGGCAAAATCAAAAGATGAGTAAAGGACGCTTGTGCACACATCAGGTGAAAAGCAATTTATCTTTTTAGCACTTTGCGGCTCATCTTACTTCGCAGGCTACTGCTCTTAAAATGAAAAAAGTGGCATCGACCAAGAATAGAACCCAAGACTTTGCTTTCGTGAATCCAAGCGTAGTAGTGTCTAACGTCTTAATCCGCGTGCTATTGTCATTGTTGTTTTTGATATTCTTTTGTTTCTTCTTATAGTGCTACATATTACCATGTATCAAAGCAATCGATTTTTCTTTAGAAGTTTTTTTGCTTTTCAGTCGTTGTGTTCTTTTTATTTTGTTTTTCTTTTTTGTATTTTTTATTTCTCTTTGTACATTCTTTTTACCTATCTCTAGTCTTTCTTTGATAATTTGTTTTTCATTATGCAACATCTTTCAGAACGCGAACGCATCTCACTTTTGATGATGAGAGGTTGATGCACAAAGATCTATAAAGTCACAAGAGATCTGTTTAATGCCACTTTTCGAAATAAAGGTAATGCAATTTTGACAACCGTTAAAAAAATAATACATCGTTTTGAAGAAAGAGGTACCGTCAAAGATCGTCTAAAACCTGGAAGACTTGGAACGTTAGCAACAAATCCTGAAAAGTCGTTAGATGTTGTGCAATCTTTTATCAAAGATCCTTATATTTTGATTTGCAAAGTAACTCAAGAACATCAGATAAATGATGTTTTCCGGGCGACGGCCCGGAAAGCCGGAGATTCCAGGTTCGACTCCTGGCTGAGGAGTTTTTTTTCGCAATATTTTAAATTTAGTTAAAGGGGTATACGGGGTCCTTCATATATATGTGATGCAAATCCAGCATCCTACATGGAGGAAAAAATTATTTTGTAAAAATATAATGCATATATATATATGCATATATATTAGCACATTCTCTGCATAACATCTTGCAAAATGGCCCAAACTAACCCGATTTGAATTTAATTCATTCGTTATTCTTATAGACTTTAGAGGCCCAAAGAATATTATTTCTACTTTATTGATTTGAAATTTACGCTGGTGGGAGACGGCGTTAATATCAGATTTACATTTTGATAGATGTGCTGAGTATTGCGAGACAAGCTCCAAGTGCCTTGGTGGCCTAACAGAGAAGGCGACGGCCCGGAAAGCCGGAGATTCCAGGTTCGACTCCTGGCTGAGGAGTTTTTTTTGCAATATTTTAAATTTAGTTAAGGGGGTATACGGGGTCTGTTTGAAGAACTGTAAAGAAAGAAACTGAAGTTGTTTTATATCGCTCGTGCTAACGAGAATGCGCAAATTTTGTTAAGAAAGCCGGATTTCTGTTTTGTTCGGTTACTAAGAAGATTATTGACATAACAACCGACTTGAGAGAGAAAAAAGTTCCTTTAACACATTATTTTGTGTTATTTGTTAGTGTTCCTTTAATTCTTCTGTTCCATAAAAAAATAAAGCTGGACTAATCTTACACCGAGTGAGACGTGTTTAACGCACGGTTTCATATAATCAATTAGAGACGTGTCAAGCACGGTAACTATCCAAGCTTTGTTTCTCAATAAGACGTGCAAGGTTACTTCCTCTCAACTATAATCATTTGACTTGCACGGACCACTTTTTCCTTTATTACAAAATTTTAACAAAATCGCTCTTTATAATCTCATTTACAGTTAAGTACATTTTTCCATCTTCCATTCTTAAAAGTTGTATCTCCATTTATTTTTTTTTAACAAAATAAAATTGTTGAACTTCATCCGCACAATTTCTCTCGTTTTAATTTCAAACATTATGTTTGGTCCTTCGAGCCGGATCTGGCGAAAAACCGCTTATACCAAAGGCTGAACGATGAGACGTGACTATGTTGAGCGTAGACTCAATCTACAACTTTCTCAAAGTTATGAGATGTCCAGCACTTGAAAACCTCTCGAATACTGGAACGATTACTCGGCACCGTGTGGAAATTCGTCTGCACGCTGTAAACGAACAATGGGAAGAATTTTATGCGAATCATAAGGCCATTACTTTAGCATTGTCAATGCTCAAGTATAATGATTTTGATCAGGTAAGACAACATCCTTATCTCTCTCAAAACATCTACTCAAGCACAAGAGAGTGCTATTTGGAAACTGCCGCAAAAATGACTTCACTCCTAGAAGATTTTTCAAACGTATTAAATAGACCATCACCACAACCATCAGAATCTCAACCGCCAACATTCACTGCGTTGCGTCATGGACCGCGATTACCACGAATTGATTTACCAAAATTCAATGGATCATTGTCTGATTGGTTACCCTTTAGGGATTTATTTTCTTCTATAGTCCTTTCTAATGCTACCAATTCTCCTGTAGAAAAATTACAATACCTCAAGACTAGTCTTATTGGTTCTTCTTCTCATTTATTGAAGAATACCGCTCTTACAGCAGACAATTTTCAGAAAGCTTGGGATTCTCTCACAGCATTTTATGAAAACGATCGTTTATTAGTCCATTCAGCATTACAATCTCTCTTCTCAATGAAAAGAATGACAAAGGAATCAGTTGCGGAAATAGAACAACTTTACACTTCCATTATGCAAATTTACCGCACTTTTGAAACTTTACAACGTCCAATTGATACCTGGGATGACATACTCGTGTTCATGATGGTACAAAGATTAGACACAGAGTCTGTGAAAGCATGGGAACATCACCTTGGATCATCTAAGAAGCTACCAACTTGGGATCAATTTCGAGAATTCTTAATGACTCGAATGTTAACTCTACAAGCCTTTGAGAAATCTCAAATAAAACCTTCCTCTCAGCTTCGTAATCAATCAGCAAGGTCGCATTCAGTAAGTTCAAAATCCACGGGAGAGAAGCCTGATAAAACTTGCTTACTTTGTGAAGAAGAACATTACATCGCTTATTGCCCCAAGTATCAACAAAAAACTATAAAACAGCGTTTAGATCTTGTTTCTGCAAAAGGACTTTGCTTTAACTGTCTCGGACATCACAGAGCAACAAATTGTCAATCAACGAGGCGATGCATCAAATGTGGAAAACGCCATCACACGACCTTACATAAAACATCAACACAAGAAAAGACGAAAACTACATCCGACGTGCGACCTCAAACATCGTCTTCTATCGAGCTTGCAGCAAACACTCCACCAACCGCTAAAGAATCAACTAAAGTCGTTCATCATATTCAACCTGAGAGTTTTGAATCTAATCCAAGCGTGCTGTTAGCCACCGCCAAAGTCAAAGTTGTTAACCATCATGGAGAAATTATTTCAGCGCGGGTTCTTTTAGATCAAGGTTCTGAAGTATCTTTAGTGACTGAAAAACTAGTTCAACAACTGCATCTCTGTCGAAAAGCTTCTCACCTTTGTTTGATAGGAGTTGGAAGACAATCTTCTGGGAAAACAAAAGGAATCGTGACACTTTCATTAAGACCTCATTTTGACACGAATACAGAAGTTTTCATTACTGCCTACATCTTTCCTAAGTTAACTTCAGCACTTCCAGCAGCATCACTAGCCTCTTCAACGTGGCCTCATCTTCGTAACTTACCATTAGCAGATCCTGAGTTCATGAAACCAGGAAATATTGACATTATCATTGGTGCTGAAATGTATGGTCAATTGTTGGAGGGATCTATTAGAAAGGGACCATCAGACGCTCCAATAGCACAACTCACTAAATTTGGATGGATAATTTCTGGACCTACTAATGCTATTTCCGCCAATCGAAAATCTCAAAATTATCACTGCACAATTGATTACGATCTTTATGAGTTAATAAAACGTTTCTGGCATCAAGAAGAAATTTGCCCTGCTCAAATCACCAAATTATCTTCTGCTGAACAAAACTGTGAAAAACATTTTGCTTTGTCTCATTCTCGCGATTCTACTGGGAGATACATAGTGCGAATACCTTTCAAACTGCCGCCTGAGCAATTAGGCGATTCCAAGCCCTCCGCGTTAAAAATGCTAAATCATCTCCAAAGGAAATTTCAAAAGGATCCGATGTATTATAAAGCTTATTCCTCCTTTTTATCAGAATATGAAAATCTTCAACACATGAGCAAGGTTCCTGTTGACGAATCCAAGCCGGAACAAATTTTTTATTTACCTCATCACGGCGTCATTCGAGAAAGTAGTACCACGACTAAGTTGCGAGTCGTCTTTAATGGATCTTGTTCTGTAATTAACGGATTAACATTGAATGAAGTTCTTCATACCGGTCCCAAGCTTCAAACTGATATTTTCGATGTTCTAATCCGATTTCGGCAGTTCCAGTACGCCTATTCATGTGACGTAGAAAAAATGTACAGACAAATCCAAGTTCATCCTGACGATCAAAAATTTCAACGAATTTTGTGGAAAGAAAATCAGAAACTTATTTCATTTCAACAATTAATAAAGACTTAAGGCTCGTGATTCATTCATTGGTTTTATTTCATTTCAACTCACAACAGTAACGTATGGTCTTGCGTGTGCGCCATATTTAGCGCTCAAAACTTTCCTTCAATTAATTAAAGATGAAAGCCACAATTTTCCTTTAGCGGTCGAGACAATCTCGACGTCTCGGTACGTTGATGATGTTTATGGAGGAGCTGACACCATCCAAAAAGCACGAGAACAAGCTTTCCAAGTCTATCAGCTCTGCATGGCGGGCGGTTTCCCTTTAAGAAAATGGACGAGTAATAACCCATCAGTTCTTGACTGCATTGAAATGCAGTTTCGCAGTCCCGTTAACTCCGTATCCATTAATGACAATATTGTTTATGCACTAGGCGTCACATGGAACACTACGTCAGATAATTTCCAATTCAAGTTAAACAAACCTCCATCCATTAATACATCAAAACGTATCGTACTATCACAAATTGCGCAAATATTTGATCCGCTAGGCCTTCTATCTCCGATCATTATCAAAGCAAAAGTCTTCTTACAGGAATTGTGGGCAATTAAGTTATCTTGGGATGAAATCTTACCTAACTCTCAACTCTTGAATTGGCAACAAATCCTTCAATCTATGGCCGGAGTTGATGTTATCAAAATCCCAAGATGGATAGGCTCAAACACAACAAATCCAATCGAGATTCACGGATTCTGCGACGCATCTCAATCAGCTATGGCCGCTGTCGTTTACGTAAAAACTCTTCACCCGACTAGAGAAGCAAACACTTCCATTCTTTGTTCAAAAACCAAAGTCGTGCCTTTAAAACGAATGACAATCCCTCGACTCGAGCTATCAGCGGCCATCATGCTTACAAAATTAATTCATCATGTTCAACAAGTTTTGAACTTGTCTAATTCTTTATGTTATCTTTGGACGGATTCTTCAATCGTTCACACTTGGTTGAGCAAACATCCTTCTCATTGGAAAGATTTTGTTCACAATCGAGTGTGCTTTATACAAGAAACATTGCCTCAAGCTATCTGGCGACACGTATCTGGAAAAGACAACCCTGCTGATTGTGCCACCAGAGGTCTATCAGCTTCGCAATTGCGAGATTTTCACTTATGGTGGACAGGACCTGTATGGTTATCAAAAAAATCATCAGAATGGCCAAATTGCTTTCCGACCTTTGATATAGTACAACATCATCTGGAAGAGCGATCCTCTTCAAATGTTACAAGTCTACAAACATCAAAATATCAAGAACATATTTGGAATCTTATCTTGCGTTATTCGTCCTTCAGTCAATTACTCCGAATAACTGTCTTATGCAAAAGAGTTATCCTACGCTTGAAACGAGTCCCAAAGACTTCCTTCAAATATGCCATTAACCCTGATGAAATCTTAGAAGCTCAGAAATTCTGGATTCAAAGAACCCAACAAAATTATTTTGCAAGAGAAATCAAGTTGCTCTTAACCAAGGCGGATCTACCTAAGTCAAATCCTCTCAATTGTCTATGTCCAATCATCAACGAACAAGGTTTATTACGCGTTAGGGGTCGGCTAGAAAATTCAACCCTCGAACAAACAGCTAAGCACCCTTATATAATTCCAAGACAATCTGCTTTGAGCACCTTGATCATCCAGGACGCACACAAACGAACTTTACACGGCTCAACTCAAGACACGCTTTCTTTTATCCGAAACACATACTGGATATTAGGAGGCAGAGCACCAGTACGATCCTATATTCTCAAATGCGTCAAGTGCGCTCGTTATCGCCGAACTCAAGCTCAACAAATCATGGGGCAATTACCCGCTTCTCGAGTTAATCCGTCTCGTGCTTTTTTACATAGCGGAGTAGATTATGCCGGTCCTTACAACCTTAAGTCCTGGAAAGGTAAAAATGCTCGTTCTTTCAAGGTTTGGATCGCTCTGTTCGTATGTCTTAGTACATCAGCTATTCATCTCGAGATCGTCACCGATTATACTACTGATGCATTCGTCGCCGCCTATAAGCGTTTCACTGCTCGGAGAGGGATTTGTGCTTCCCTCACAAGTGACTGCGGTACTAATTTTAAGGGAGCAGAACAGCAGCTAAAACATCTTTTTTCAGAAACCTCTTCTGAACTTCAACGACTAGCTTCTATAATCGCTAATGACGGTACTAAATGGATCTTCAATCCACCATCAGCTCCTCATTTCGGAGGAAAATGGGAAGTTGGCGTGAAATGTTTGAAATATCACTTAAAACGTACCACAGGAACCTTGAATCTTACTTACGAAGAAATGACTACCCTTTTAACAAAAATAGAAGCCATTCTTAATTCCAGACCTTTATGTCCTCTTACAGATGATCCCAACGATTTAGACGTCCTAACACCTGGCCATTTCCTTATCGGTCAACCATTAACGCTTGTACCAGAACCAAACCTAATACCTATCAAAACTTCAAGATTATCCCGTTGGCAACGAATAAGTCAAATGTTACAAAATTTTTGGTCAAAGTGGTCAAGAGCTTACTTACAACGCTTTCAAGCAATCTACAAATGGAAACACCGATCTACACCCATACGAATCGGAACCTTAGTTCTAATTGTAGATGAGAGATACCCTCCCTCCAAATGGCCTTTAGGTCGCGTAATAGAAACTTATCCCGGTCCTGACAACGAAATCAGAGTTGCTTCTATCAGAACTGCTACATCCATTATTAAACGACCTATCGTCAAGCTATGCCCTCTACCAGTCGAAGCACACGAAGAAGAAAATTCGTCGCTTGCGTCAACGAAGGCGGGCGGTAATGTTTGAAGAACTGTAAAGAAAGAAACTGAAGTTGTTTTATATCGCTCGTGCTAACGAGAATGCGCAAATTTCGTTAAGAAAGCCGGATTTCTGTTTTGTTCGGTTAACTAAGAAGATTATTGACATAACAACCGACTTGAGAAAGAAAAAAGTTTCTTTAACACATTATTTTGTGTTATTTGTTAGTGTTCCTTTAATTCTTCTGTTCCATAAAAAAATAAAGCTGGACTAATCTTCCAACGAGTGAGACGTGTTTAACGCACGGTTTCATATAATCAATTAGAGACGTGTCAAGCACGGTAACTATCCAAGCTTTGTTTCTCAATAAGACGTGCAAGGTTACTTCCTCTCAACTATAATCATTTGACTTGCACGGACCACTTTTTCCTTTATTACAAAATTTTAACAAAATCGCTCTTTATAATCTCATTTACAGTTAAGTACATTTTTCCATCTTCCATTCTTAAAAGTTGTATCTCCATTTATTTTTTTTAACAAAATAAAATTGTTGAACTTCATCCGCACGATTTCTCTCGTTTTAATTTCAAACAGGGTCCTTCATATATATGTGATGCAAATCCAGCATCCTACATGGAGGAAAAAATTATTTCGTAAAAATATAATGCATATATATATGCATATATATTAGCACATTCTCTGCATAACATCTTGCAAAATGGCCCAAACTAACCCGATTTGAATTTAATTCATTCGTTATTCTTATAGACTTTAGAGGGCCAAAGAATATTATTTCTACTTTATTGATTTGAAATTTACGCTGGTGGGAGACGGCGTTATTATCAGATTTACATTTTGATAGATGTGCTGAGTATTGCGAGACAAGCTCCAAGTGCCTCGGTGGCCTAACAGGGAAGGCGACGGCCCGGAAAGCCGGAGATTCCAGGTTCGACTCCTGGCTGAGGAGTTTTTTTCGCAATATTTTAAATTTAGTTAAGGGGGTATACGGGGTCCTTCATATATATGTGATGCAAATCCAGCATCCTACATGGAGGAAAAAATTATTTCGTAAAAATATAATGCATATATAAATGCATATATATTAGCACATTCTCTGCATAACATCTTGCAAAATGGCCTAAACTAACTCGATTTGAATTTAATTTATTCAAAATTCTATGTTTGTTAATAAAATATTGAAGCAAAACAAATTTCATCCTTTGAAGTTCGTCTGGTACTTAAGTTAAATAAAGATGACGTTGATAGACGCGTTGAATTCTGTGAGATCATGATGGCAATAATAGATACAGACCCTGATTTCTTGTTTAGAAGTCTTGTTTAGATGTTTTTTCCGATGAGGCAATGTTACAACTAAACGGTACTCTAAATAGACACAATAGTCGATATTGATCTGATACGAACAATAATCGATATTGGTCTGATACGAACCCTCATTTGATGCGAGAAGATAACATCCAATATCCACAGAAGTTAAATATTTGAGCAGGTATACTAAATGATAGTTTGATTGTATAATCAAATCGTACGGTGTTGACTAATTCGGTGTCGAATAATTTGGTGTCAAATAATTATACAGTGTCGAATAATTTTGTGTCTGTTGAGTGTGAGTGTACATTTGTAGTTCGCTTACTGGCATGTGCTGCCATCTGAGTGAGTCAAGTAGGTAGGAGAACCTACGTGCGCGAGCATGTTCCTTTGTTGGACAGTTAATGTAGAGAAGCCACGGAAAAGAGATTGTAAAACCAACTTTGTACTCTTTTTATGTATTAATAAATGTTATATAAAGAAAAACAAAATAGATCAAAGATTCCAACATGGTAGCAGAGCGTGGTTGGTAAAAGTGGTTACGAGTTAAAGTCTGTGGTTTTCGTGAAAATCAAAACGGTTACTTACAAGGGAACCTCGCGAACCCGAAAATTCTGATTTTGATGAAACTTTGCACACATGTAAGGGAGGTCAATAGATGAGTATTGACATTTTCCGTTG